CTCTAGCAGACGAAAATATTTCGGATTACAGCTTTCTTAGTGTGTATGACTTTTCTAATTTAAAAACGATTCTGAGTTTTTTCTTCTTCAAAATTCAAAATGATTTTTTCCAAAGTGTTTTAAAAATTCACCGGGCAACGCTGGGAACTTTGGCAAGTAGGTGATATTGTAGATCATAATTATAGGAAGTTACATGCGCTACATTTATCCTTTAGTTTATGATTTAACAAAACAAAACAAAAATGAATTACAGATGGCTAAAAGTACAATGTACATTGTAAACTGTACAAAAACACACAGATTACACAGATAAGACAAGGATCGCACGTGTGATCGTAAGAGTTACCCTAAAATGATGAGACTGTAAGGACGACTTGCACCACTATGAATATAACGATTTTAAGGTTGAATTAACTTCTATGAATGATACCTGCGACATGTTCTGTCCGAACTGGGTAATCTTTATTATAACGGGACAAACATTACAATTTTCCGCCAATTTTTGATAAATATATTCGTAATGTCTCCTTAACATTCTGTCTGCACGATTCAGTTCTTTAATAAACAACTCATTCTTCCTCTAATCTTCAATCTTCATCCTCTTTGTACAGTTTATTTATTTTTCCCTCCCCTGTCTCCCCCCCCCACACAAAAAGGGCAATTTGCATGGGGGGGGGGGTGGAAAGAATAGAGAGGGAGAGGAAAAGGCAAGGTGTAAGGAGAATAGAGGCTAGAGGATGCGAGGAGAGGGGGAATTGAAAAGGGGGGATAATGGAGGGGATGGGTCGAAGCCGGAGAGTAGGAGAGAAAAAGAGAAGGGGGAAAAGGACAGAAGGAGAGAAGGAGATGAGGAGGTAAGGAGATAATCAGATAAGGAGAGAAGGAGGTAATGAGATAAGGAGAGAAGGAGGTAATGAGATAAGGAGAGAAGGAGGTAATGAGATAAGGAGAGAAGGAGATAAGGAGATAAGGAGAGAAGGAGGTAAGGAGATAAGGAGAGAAGGAGAGAAGAAGAAAAGAAGAGAAGGAAAAAATGAGAGAAGAAGAACAGGAGAGAAGTACAAAAGGAGAGAAGGAGAGAAGGAGAGAAGGAGAGAAGGAGAGAAGGAGAGAAAGACAGAGGAAGAGAAGGAGCGAAAAAGAGAGAAGCAGAAAAATGGAGAAGGGGGTAGACATTTGNTGCAAAAGTAGTGAAATAAAGGTTTCGTGCAAGGTTAGAAAATTTATTATCCCTCTTTATATAACAGCAGAAAAAACCGTTGAACTATAGTTCATCGGAGAGTGCAAATTTGACAAGAATTTGCATGATATTTGAATGGCTTGGTTTTGCAAGTAGCAACTTAAACGTTTGTTCTTTAATTTCTTTTCAATGCTAAGTCCTGAATTCTAAAGACTAAAAAAGTTGTAAAAATAAATAATTTGAAAAACATTTTTGCGCAAAATTATTTTTCGCAACAACTATGATAATGATTCTACGAATATTTAGTTTGCATATTATCTTCCTCTGTTTTCATCTCTGGGATTGGTTTAGATCATTTGTTTCTTGGTATATATAATATAACCCAAATTTTTCAATTCATTTATTTTTGAATTTTAGTTTTTAGCTTATTTACTAGATTAAAAAATTATCGATTAAAAATCAAAAGGGTGATAAAACAGTCAACATCTGCTCTGCAACCAAATGATCAAATGAAAATTGATAAGCCATTAGGATAATGTTCATATGATCTTTAAACCACATTGATTTAACTTAAATATATTTATTTCTCATTGCACGTATTTCAAGTCGTATCACTGTGAACGACATAGACAAGAAGATAGTATTTACATTACTGGTACCACTTTGTGACATCGTAGCTTCTTTAATTTTGATTTTATGTATGAGAAAAATATAACTAATCCGGTTACATATTAAGAATTCAAAAATTGAAAACACAAAAGATTTTAATATTACTTCTATTTACTTTACTTTGACGCGGTATAAGAATATGTATCCACGTCTCACAATTTTAGTAAACCAACACAAGTTTAACTGTATAGGTCAATAGATTGCATTATATAGTCTAGTTGTATTTAATTAACGTTACTACTATCATATTTCTCATCCCAGCTGTTTAATCAGTTGTAAGCATTAAAAAATAACCTTGATTCGTTTCAGCTATTGTTCCGTGGGCCGTTAAGGTCTCCAGTTTTAAATTTTCCTTTCATCTCCATAAGTCAATATTCGAATAGTCATTTCAGTCTTATACCTAGTGGGTAACCCTGTATATCTTCAGAACTTTATTTGAATCCGCCTATGTATACAATTTTTGTACATCGAATTTTGTCGCTATGGCTAAGCTTAGCGCCATCCTAACGAAAAAAGCGGTATTGCAACCAATCTACATATGAGAGAACAGGGTTAAAGAATATTCCCGACAATGAATAAATGCAGAAAATGCTAAACTAAGATCAGGATATAGGTCGAGAAGATGTACAGAGGTCAGACATAGAGAGATAGTTAGTTAGATAGATAGATAGATAGATAGATATTTAGATAGATAGATAGATATATAGATAGATAGATAGATAGATAGATAGATAGATAGATAGATAGATAGATAGATAGATATTTGGATATTTAGATAGATAGATAGATATTGAGATAGATAGATAGATATTTAGATAGATACATAGATAGATAGATAGATAGATAGATAGCTGGATATATAGATAGATGGATAGATAGATAGATAGATAGATAGATAGATAGATAGATAGATAGATTAAAGGTAGAAAAAAATAATAAAATTGACACAAATAGGATGACATCATTTGTGAAAGCAAAAAAGCTATTTATTTATATTGTTTTTTTCCATATCTTTCCTTGTTCCATAGCGTCAAAACATGGTTAAGCTGATAAGACCCAAAGATCGGTCGGTTGAAATTTGAACGATAGGCAAAAAAAATTACGATTTTTAACAAATCTGCGAAAAAAGATCAGCAGGAAAAAGCTGAACTATGTAATACTATAAGCTTCGAAACCATAAAACAGAGATTCCCTTTGTTGGGAACCCAGCTGCCCAGGTTACTAAAAGCTACTCCCGCCGTTTACCTACTATTTAACGATTTTACCGGGAAACTGAATTTTCGCTATGAAAGTCGACCCACTTACTTTAGAATCTCAAAACTAAGCTAAGCATATTCCCCTAGGCTTCCCGAGTTCCCCTATCAAAATTTGAGGGAAAGCGGTACTGGGGTTCCTGAGTTATGATCTGTCAAACAAACAAACACCAAGACAAACAGAGATTACAACTTTATACATATAGATTATTCGCAATTTATTAGTGATAACGTTTAGATAAGTGATAACGTTTAGATGCTTGCACTATATTCTTTGATTTCTGTAAATAAGGGAATTCCCCGTTTTTCTAAATCAGGCCTGAGTGGCCTCTTTTGCTAAAGCATAGTGCAGTTTAAAACTGGCTTTTTACGGAGTTAACATCTCCCAGTATGTTTCCGGCGGACACACTTGTAGTGATTCAGCAGTAACAATACATTTCTCGTCATACACACTTAAATACATAATAGGATACATACATACAAGACAGTTTCAAATATATTCAGTAGTGATTTTGCTTTTATACATTCAAAAAATATGTATGTGAGTTTTTGTTATGTGATCTCGTTCTATAGAAAAAAGATTTGCATCACAGGTTGTGAAACTAGATATCCAGAGCGAAATCGTATTTATCTTATTAAATTTTTCTGTTAGTTTGTTAGTATCCAATAAACGGCAAAACGGCTGAACCAGTCATGACCCTAGAAAAGGTATAACGCCGGTGTCATGCATGGAGCGGGCTCTTGCATGGGGTGAACTCCCCTTAAAGTTTTAACCATTTCAACACAATGTGAGACAAAAAAAGCAATGTTATGACATTTTCCGATATTAATTAATGTATTTTAATTTGAAGAACACATTTAAATGTATCCTTGTCTTGGATAAATATTGATTTTGATGATTTGAAAGGAAAACGACATTCAAGAGGAAATAACCTTTTTTGCTTTACTCTCTTAAAATACATTTAATAACTAAATGCGTATTTAATATATGTCAACTAATGATTTTTAATGTTTTAAAGGGAGTGTTCGCGAAAAATGAAAGGGGGTATAGGCTTAATGCGATAAAAAAGCGCTTTTGATCGCTACTAATCTTACTTCTATCTGTTGCGTCTATAAGGAGAAAATTGTTAAAAACGACTTATACCGAAGAACGTAGTGTCCATACAAATTCAGAAAGATGCAACATACGACTTACACCGTAAAAAAAATCTATTTAATTTCAAACAAATTATTCAGATATTACATCCTATGGTCATCGATTATCTTTCGCCCCATTTGTATATAGTTGATTTTTCATAGTATATTTTGATTTTATTTTTTAAAATAACATTTAGCTTCCAACTTGTTTTCGAACATTCCTGGAAAATATGAAAATGTCGTCTTCATTACAAAAATCCTCTTGCAAGAGTCCGCTCCATGCAAGAGTCCGCCCCATGCAAGAGTCCGCCCCATGCAAGAGTCCGCCCCATGCAAGAGTCCGCTCCATGCAAGAGTCCGCCCCATGCAAGAGTCCGCTCCATGCAAGAGTCCGCCCCATGCAAGAGTCCGCCCCATGCAAGAGTCCGCTCCATGCAAGAGTCCGCTTCATGCAAGAGTCCGCCCCATGCAAGAGTCCGCTTAATGAAAACAATTGCCTTAAAAAGTCAATAAAAGCAAAACTCCGATTTAAAAAAAAATTGATGCTTCGAGAAAAATGGTGCCTTGTAAGACAACATTGACCAAAATTCATTTAACTTTTTTAAACCACTCAATAAACTAGACTTTATGAAAAAAGTTTTAAAGCTGGAAATGTAGTTTAAAAGCGGGAAAATCACTATTAAGAAAATTACCATTCCAAAAAACGTTAAAAAGTTTTCAATCTTTAAATTTCTAATTTTATGTTCTTCATTTTCAGATGTTAAAACTAATATCTAATCTGGTAAAACTAATATCTAATCTGGTAAAACTATGCATACGCTTAAAGATCCGGCAGCTGTTTTCCATGAATATGAAGATCATCTCCTGAAAAATGAATCCTCAGAAGATTTATTATTCTTCAACAATATTTCTGTCGAGCACTGCACAACAGAATATTGGGGGTAATTAATTCAATTAAAGGGACTGTACGTGTAATTTCAAGTGACCCTTCATGCAAAGATTTCAATGTCCGATTCACAACGGTACCATGAAAGCCATGCCTGATCAAGAATAAATTAGATATCAATGTTTATCATTTTGAAAATTTATCATTTTTAATTTTATTTTCCCTACAAAAGTGACTTGCGGATTTCTACTGTGCAGAAAAATATGTAGAAATTGCCAAAAATTGAACACTTTTAAACCTAAAACACCACAATATCCTCCGCATTAATGACCAGAAAAATGTATCAAGGGTACCGTTGTGAATCGGACATTGCCATATTTGCATGGACAGCAACTAAAAATTTATTCCCTGATTTTCAATTGATAAATCACATAAAGGGGGGAACATTTGAAAAGAATCGATTATTTAGAGATTATCGAATAAATATAGAATAAAGCAGATTGGTAATACGCAACTTTTCTTTACTGTTCAATCTATTATTAAATATTAAATCTTAGATTTTGTCAATTCTGAATAAGTAAAACCTGAAATCTTCATATTTATTTTCTATTTCAGAGTTCCCCCTGATTTCAGGGGAAACTGTACTCCAGAGTTTTTGAAGGATTCCTGGTTCAAAAGTTTTTATCTCACGAATATATTTGTTATTATAGCAATAGGTAAATATATCCTGATAATTTATCAATTTGTATTGATTTGTCTTATTTTGTTCATTAATTGGAAACATCGAATGAGACGGCAAAAAATCTATTTTAGAAATGTCAAAAAATAAAGTTTAAAACTTCAAATAAAGCACCAAAATAATTATTTTTCAGTTGCTTTAAAAAAATAGATTCACAACCAAATAATCAGTAGTAGAAAAATAATTGTATAAATTATGATGATTTACTTATTATTAAGAACTATTTCTAATTTAGGAGGGATTTGAAATCTACTAATAATATTTTCTAATTTAGGAGGGATTGGAAATCTACTAACGATATTTTCTAATTTAGGAGGGATTGGAAATCTACTAATAATATTTTCTAATTTAGGAGGGATTGGAAATCTACTAACGATATTTTCTAATATAGGCGGGATTGGAAATCTACTAATGATATTTTCTAATTTAGGGGGGATTGGAAATCTACTAATGATATTTTCTAATTTAGGGGGGATTGGAAATCTACTAAAGATATTTTCTAATTTAGGAGGGATTGGAAATGATATTTTCTAATATAGGCGGGATTGGAAATCTACTAATGATATTTTCTAATTTAGGGGGGATTGGAAATCTACTAATGATATTTTCTAATTTAGGGGGGATTGGAAATCTACTAACGATATTTTCTAATTTAGGAGGGATTGGAAATCTACTAACGATTGTATCTGTTTCCTACGTTTTCTTAAGGTAAACGTTAAATTCTATTCTTATGAATAATAAAAAGACAGAAAAAAATGTGTCAACATAAAATGAAAAGTGGCTTCAAAACTTGATTTTTTTAAAGCAAGAAATTGAAATCCTTTTTTGGTTCGTTGTTATTAAAGTTCTTTTGACCTTTAGGGCCTTCATAAAAAATAATTTTTAAGAAAAAATTTACTAAATATAAGATATAATTCTAAATACTAAATATAATTCTGACATTTGTTGACAAATTGTTTGTTTCATTCAGAGTAAAAGGAATTGAGTTTTTGTCACAAACTCTGATTTTCTTATTCTCAGATATCTCAAACTATAAATCATTTTAGGTCAAATAATGATAGTTTGAAATGTCAAAGGTTTACACCATCAGGTTGCAAAGATAGCGATTGTAAAATCAGATTTTGTGGAAAAAACTTAGTTCCTTTGTCTAATTTTAGGTACCCTTCGACCAGATTTAAGTATCCATGGATAAAAAATCCTATAACAATTCTTATCCTTCATCTCTCCTTCTGTGATCTGCTGTACTGTTTGTTCGGTTTACCTTTCTTAACCCTGCCACCTCTCTACGGGTATTTTCCCTTCTCTAAGCGCACTTGCCGCGTAACATCACTTCTCAGGAATCTCAACGCCTACGCAGAATTTTTAACCATTGCACTCATTGCATTATTAAGGTAAAAAATACAAATGAATTAGTTAAATTTTTTTTTTACTATTTATAATAGGATAGGAGGCAGGATGGGGGGGAGGGTTTAATATTTTGGAAAATGTGTGTTAGGGTTGGTCGATTTTCCCTTTAACCCTATTCCGATTGGTCTATTTTTGTCCAATAAGGGTTGGATTCACCATTCCCCTAATATGATTTTACCCACAGAGTTGAGATAGGGGAATCTGATACAAGAACCTAGTTCAACTTTTCCAGGCCATCTCACTTTAAAAGAAATTAGATCTCTAACTAGCTTTATCAGTTGGGTTGCAAGGGAGGATTAAAAAAAGGTGTCACTTGCCAGAAAAATAAATAAAATATTTTTGGCGACACTTCATACTTCATCCATTTTTCAATAAGTAAATTTCAGATCTGATAAGGTTATGGAATATTTTTGATTTATTTTTCAAACACCGACCAGCCGTTTAACCATGCCCAAAAGGACCCTTAATCTGAAAAATCTAATTTGAATTCATGCAAGTTTAAAATTGAGAATCTAATAACAATAATAATAATTTTTTTCAGACTAAAAGGAATGTTGAGAGAACGGTACAAATCTCCTCAGCTTGGAACTAGTTTCTTGACACCCTGTAGGTAGAGATAGGCACGTTCGACTTAATTTCATTTCGTTCATCGTTCGTGAACGATCCATTTCATTATTTTCAATCGTTCAAAAAAATATTTCGTTCTTTCTCAATTTATCGTCCATTTCGTTCGTTTTCTCACTGAACAATCGTATAGTAAAATAGTTCGTTCAGTACAAAACGATAGTTTTATTCAAAATCTTTCGGATAATTTGTTCGTTCAGTAAAAAACAATCGATTTTTCAAGTTCGTTCGTACGATTTTAAATCGTTCGTTTTATAAAAAACGATATTTTTTTCATAACTGCGAACGATCCATTTCGTTCATCCATCATTCGTTTTTTCGTCTTAACGACAGCCTATTTCACGAAAAATTCCAATCGTTCCAAAAAACGATGCCCATCTCTACCTGTAGGATGATTTTATTCTGCTGCTTAATCTGGATCCTCGCATTTATCATCATATCTCCGATAGTATTCCAAGTCAAGAGACCGGTAGATTTCGGTAGGTTCGGATACAACCCTGTCGGAATATGCAACGTTGAGCCCAGTATTTCGTCGGATTCCAGAGCAGGATTGGTTTTCTTGATAGGGTTTTCAGTCCCCTGTCTTCTTATTAATATATCCTATATCAGCCTCTCCTGTATCCTTAAACATAGATCAAGGAGAATAAGAAACGTGTTAGGGAAGATTTAAAAATAGTTTTGAATATTTAATTTGAATCTATCATTTGCCTTTTAAACCGTTTCTATTTATAAAATTTCACCATGAAACCTCTTGAATTTCCGGAGAAGTAATTTACAGGATTTTTTTCCAATTAATTTTGTGGGTATATCAGCCTAGATAGTTAACTAGATAGATAAAATCTAACTGTAAACTTCACATCTACCTTTTTGACTTTCTTACTAAGCAATAATGGTTATCAATTTTATGTCAAATGTCAAAGCTCTATTAAATGTTTCATTATTCCTTTGTAATTTCCCTGAGTTCGAACTTTGGGTTTGTGTCATCTAGAATTTTCATTCAATAATTTTATCTAAAATATTTTTATTATTATTTCAAAAACTTGAACAGAGGCTCAACAAACTGCAGACACGGAGAAAGTGAGCAAACTGTTAATGTTTCTCAGTATCAGTTATGTAGTACTAGTTGGATCACTCACTCCAATAGGTAGGTTTAAATATAAGGATCTAGAACAAGAATATATAGATTGACAAGACTGACAAGATTGACAAGATTGACAAGATTGACAAGATTGACGAGATTGACGAGATTGACAAGATTGACATAATTTACAAGATTGACAAAATTAACAATATTGACAAGATTGACATGATTGAAAAGGTTGACATTGACAAGATTAAGAAGATTGACAAGATTGACAAGATTGACAAGACAGACAAGAAAGACGTAGAAAAAGGACAAGAAGAACGTACAAGATTTACAAGAATTATATTGTATAGAATGGGCTGATACCTACATGAAGAATAGTACAATAAAAGCATATATAACCCTGTTCTCCTTTTCTTGGTATTGGTGGAACTATACTATTCACTTTCTAGGTTTATAATAATAACTTATAAGAATTTTAAAAAAAATCTTTTAAAAAATCTTTAAAAAAATAGCTTTGAATTCATTATTTGACTTGTTTTATTCTTTTATACCAAAACAATTGTTGAAATATTTTTGGAAAATAAAATTATTTATTTCAGGAGAATATTTTGGAAAAAATGGAAAAAATTCAGCCGAATAATATATCAAGTGCACTTACAGCGTTTCCAAACTAATTTAAAATATTAAAGTTATAATTATATTTTTCAGTTATATCCCTGTATTTCAAGGTGAATACAATTTTTATAATTCTGTATTAAAATTATAAAACTTACCATTTCTGAGTTTGTTGCCATAGCAGGGTAATAAAATATCTAAATAATTGTATTGCCCATTTGGGTATTCCCCTATTCACAGCTATATAGAGAAATTTTCTCTTATCTCTCAAACTTGTAATCTTTAAGCATTATTTATGAATCAGAGGAAATATATTATCTTTTCTTTAAATCGGTAAATAATTAAACTAAAAATGAAAGGGGGTATAAGCTAAAATCTGAGAACTTTATGAATTTTATCTGATGTTCCATGTCTTGAGAATAAAACTATTTCAACGTTATATCAAATCTTATAGATCCACAAGACCTTACAGATCCACGAGATCTTTCAGATCCACAAGGTCTTACAGATACACAATATCTTACAGATCCACGAGATCTTTAAGATCCACAAGATCTTCAAGATCCACAAGATCTTTAAGATTCACAAGAATTTTAAGATACAAAGATTTTTAAGATACACAAGATCTTATAGATCCACACGATCTTACAGACCCACAAGATCTGACAGATCCACAAGATCTTACAGATCCACAAGATCTTACAGATCTACGAGATCTTAAAGATCCACAAGATCTTACAGATCCACAAGATCTTACAGATTTACAAGATCTTAAAGATCCACAAGATCCACAAGATCAGCAAGATCTTTAATGTCCACAAGATAAAGAAACACAAGATCTTACAGATACACAAGATCTTACAGATCCACAAGATCTTACAGATCCACAAGATCTTACAGATCCAAAAGATCTTACAGATCCACAAGATCTTACAGATCCACAAGATCTTACTGATCCAGAAGATCTCACATATCCACAAGATCTTACAGATCCACACGATCTTACAGATCCACAAGATCTTACAGATCCACATGATCTTACAGATCCACAAGTTCTTACAGATCCACAAGATCTTGCAGATCCACAATATCTTACAGATCCACAAGATTTTAGAGATAAACAAGATCTTACAGATCCACAAGATCTTTAAGATCCACAAGATCTTTAAGATCCACAAGATCTTTAAGATCCACAAGATCTCTAAGATCCACAAGATCTTGCAGATCCACAAGATCTTACAGATACACAAGATCTTACAGATCCACAAGATTTTACAGACTCACAAGATCTTACAGATCCACAAGATTTTACAGATTCACACGATTTTACAGATCCCCAAAATCTATAAATTCACCAACATCTTTTTATATCTATAAGATCTACAATTAAGATATTTTAGGATTTCTCCCAAATCTATTCTGTCTTTTTGAAAGATTTGTTCTCTCTTCTCTCTTCCTGTCTCACATCCCGAAATAATCAATCCACCAATTCAGCTGGAAGAGCTAGAGCAGCTGATGCAGCTGAAGCAGCTGAAATAGCTGGAGGAGTTGGAATAACAAACCACGGTTTCCAAATAAATAACTTTTATGTTTTCGGTGAAAATTCAAATATTTTGAGATCTGTAAATGCATACAGTATGGATAAACTTAATATAGAAGTGAATGGGTCACGTGTTCATAAACAAAATCAATCAATGAATGAAAAATTAAACGCCCGTAAACTTATATCCCTGAACAAGAGTACACCCTGCAGTACGGTTGAGTGCAATAAAGAACCGGTTCAAACAATTGTTTATCATGCAAAAAAGAATCTGAAAAAATGTAATTCCGTTTGATTAATTTTCTATCTCAAAATGTTAAAAGTATCAATGCAGAAATGTGATAACAAAGCTATTAAATCAAAAAGATATTTTATAACTTAAGACAATATATTTAAACATTTTTAATAAAGTAGCTACAGGGTTGCCCACAAAGGATGAGACTTAAGAGATGACTATACGGAATTTACACTGTATATTTCCTGATATTCATGGAGTCCCGGCCACACTAAACTTCTTTCAGAGTTTCACGTCGTCTTTACAGTCTCATACGTTGTTTGGAACCCTTTCTGTATCTTTGGAAACTTTCCTGACAATCGATTGACATGGGTCGCATTGTACTGTACATTATCTTTCCTGAACTCAACTTTTCCAGTTTTTTCTTCTGTTTTTAAGCATTTTAAGCAGGTAATGGAATGTCAGTACGTAGGATTTATGTAGGTATGAAGTTAAGGTAGGATGTAGGAGGATGTAGGTAGGTAGGAAGTTGAGATAGGATGTAGGTAGGAAGGAAGTTGAGGTAGGATTTATGTAGGTATGAAGTTAAGGTAGGATGTAGGAAGGTAGGATGTAGGTAGGTAGGAAGTTGAGATAGGATGTAGGTAGGAAGGAAGTTGAGGTAGGATGTAGGTAGGTAGGAAGTTGAGGTAAGATGGAGGTAGGTAGGAAGTTGAGGTAGGATGTAGGTAGGTAGGATGTAGGTAGGTAGGAGAATGAGGTAGGATTTTAGGTAGGTAGGAAGTTGAGGTAATATGTAGGTAGGTAGGAAGTTGAGGTAGGATTTAGTTAGGTAGGAAGTTGAGGTAGGATGTACGTAGGTAGGATGGAGGTAGGTAGGAAGTTGAGATAGGAAGTTAGGTAGGTAGGACGTTGAGGTAGGATGAAGGTAGGTAGGAAGTTGAGGTAGGATGTAGGTAGGTAGGAAGTTGAGGTAGGAAGTTAGGTAGGTAGGAAGTTGAGGTAAGATGTAGGTATGTGGGATATAGGTAGGTGAATAAGTGTCTAGGTTTAAATACATTTTTGATTTACGTAAAAGTATGATAAAGGCAAATTTATCTGGTTTTATTCAAGAAACTCATTTTTGTTCTTCTCGTGGAAAACATGAAAGATTTTAATCTTACGTGAACTTTACTTTAATTTGACGTGTTCGTCCCTTGTTCTCTCCTTCCTAGTTTTATTACCGCCTGAGGGGAGCACACACCCAGACAACTTTTAATTTAGATGAGAAATTACGGAAAAAGACCGGAAATGAGGAGAAAACGAGCGAAAAGGCAAGACTATAAAATTAACCAAAATAATGGCTAATTGAGCGCCCGGGGTGTAGGGTTGTTTTGTTAGATCGTATATCTATACAGTTTAAACATTTGATAATACATAGGCAGCGAAAAAATGAAATACGAATAAAAATTGTGATGAAACAAACCCGTAAACTAGAAACATTAGAATGCAATAAATATTCGGTAATGGGAAATATTCAGCGCTATTAAATTTTGGAAAAGAAATAACAGTTAATTCGCTTATACAGGGTGTCCCAATAAACATGGGAATTAAGAGACGAATTCGAAACGTCTTTGCAAAGAATTAGCGTTGTGTTGCATAATTTAAATGGTCAAAATAAAGTTACGTCTGCTAGAGTATATTTTATGTTAACGGTAAAAGGCTGTTTTGTTATTCTGCAAAACGTTGTATGATGTTCTGTAACATTTCTGCAAGGAAAACAGTGAAGAGAGAATTTCTTATATTATGAAGTACACCTCAGTATGCTATAAAAACATAAACAAACAGATTCTGAACTCTAGCAGACGGATTATAGCTTTCATAGTAGGTATTGCTATACTAAATCAAGGAATTATTTACAAAGACGATATCAAAATCGTCACTGAATTCCCATGTTTATTGAGACACCCTGTAGCAGAGGCACACCGAGGGTATTGTTAAGGTCGGCGATTTTTGTATGTTTTGGTGAAAACAAGAAATCTTCAACTTTTTTTATGTTGCTCAGACAAAATCGTGTCATTTTTGTTTTTGACATATGAACTCCCTTTTTAAGCTTTAAGGGGGGCACTTTGAATTTAGAAATTAAAACTAAGCGAGCTAAATTATTTTGGTTTACAGTATGGTTTCCTCAAAGCCTGTTATTTGACATTTTACCCATGATTTGTCGGCAAAAAAATGATTTATTGCCGAAAATATATTGCGAGAAGGAAAGTTTAGATTTATGGGGTTGGTTGAAAACATGTACATATATGAATTTTTAAAACAATGCTGTAGTAATAATGTATACTGGAGTTTAACAGTAATTTATATTGACTAATGCTAAAGGGGAATTTTATATTTGAATGATATATATTCTAAGTATGTGTTGCTTAACTGGCTTAACTGCTTAGCTGGCGAAAAGAAATCCAAACTATAGCACTTAGAGGAAGTAAAAGTCTATTCTAAGTATGTGTGTATTTTGTATTTTGTTTGTATGTTTGTATTTTGTTAATAATTCAAGTTATTTAATTGTAATTTGATTTAACTTGCAAGAACACATTAAATAAAGAAAAAAATCATCTGATTTATCAAAAAAATGTCAACAAATTTTGCTACGAAAATATAACTTAAAATGCAGTTAAAATGTTTTGAAAAATAATACTTTCTATTGTTTGGCGTACTATTTAAGGAACTGTATGCGTAATAAGCGTAATCTAAAGTGACCACCCATACAAAGATGACAACGTTCGATTTACAACAGTATCCTTGAAACCTTTATCTGATAAAAAATGTCGAAGACCATGTCGTTTTTCCATCACGAAAAGTGTTTATTTCTGTGCGTTTCTCTATTGCTTCTAATAAACAAGGAATGCGCAATTCACATTTGCAGAGAAACCGCAAATGAAAATATACATTTTGTAGAAGCAAAAACATTGATATCTAATTCATTCTTGACCATACAAAGCTATAAAAGGAACCATTGTGAATCGGACATTGCTATCTTTGCGTGGAGGGTTACTTGAAATTACGCTTACAGTCCCTTTAAATTTTTAAGGGTAGAAATTTCAAAGGCCCCCTCCCCCCTCCCTTCATACTTCCATTGAACACTTAATGCTTATGATAAGCCTGACACCGGACACAATAAGTTGGAGTTAGTTTAAACAGATTCAAGATCTAAATTAATATGACCTGGACCCCTGACAAGCTGGGGGACCTGGGGACCTGGACCCATGGCAGGCTAGAGGACCTGGAACCCTGGCATACTGAGGGACCTGGACCCCTGACCGGCTAGGGAACCTGAACCCCTGACAAGCTAGGGGACCTGGACCCCTGACAAGCTGAGAGACCTGGACCCCTGACATGCTGGGGGACCTGGACCCCTGACAAGCTGAGAGACCTGGACCCCAGACATGCTGGGGAAACTGGACCCCTGACAAGCTGGGGGGCCTGGACCCCTGACAAGCTAGAGGACCTGGACCATTGATAAGCTGGGAACCTGGACCCCTGAAACGCTGGGGGGCCTGGACCCCTGACAAGCTAGAGGACCTGGACCCTTGCTAAGCTGGGGAACCTGGATCCCTGACATGCTGGGGGACCTGGAACCCTGACATGCTGGGGGAACCTGGATCCCTGACATGCTAGGGGACCTGGTCCCCTGACATGCTGGAGGACCTGGACCCCTGACATGCTGGGGGACCTGGACCCTTGACAAGCTGAGAGACCTGGACCCCTGACATGCTGGGGGACCTGGACCCCTGACATGCTGGGGGACCTGGACCCCTGACATGCTGGGGGACCTGGACCCCTGACATGCTGGGGGACCTGGACCCTTGACAAGCTGAGAGACCTGGACCACTGACATGCTGGGGGACCTGGACCCCTGACAAGCTGGGGGACCTGGACCCCAGACATGCTGGGGAAACTGGACCCCTGACAAGCTGGGTGGTTTGCTTCTGTCCAGTGTGCAGAATAATTGCAATAAAGTATGCAACACAAAATTCAGACGGCCTTGTCAAGATTAAAAGTACAAAGCTGAAAATTACAAATAATATCAGTTTTCTTGATTTTGTTAATTGCGACTATTATATTTCAAAATATGAATTTTGCTGGTTTAAATAGTTAAAGTTTGAAATATCAACGGTTTTCAGAATTAAAAGTTACCAATATATTGTGTTAAAAAACCAGAATATTTGGGGAATGTTTCGTTACTTTAAAGGAAATCACTAATGAGTTTTTGGAATAAACTCTGATTTTTCAATCTTTGCAACCCGATGCCGTAGACCTTCAAACTATGAGATCAAATAATCTAAGTTCAAAATTTCAGAGGTTTCCACCATCAGGTTCCAAATATTAAAGAATTTGAGTTTTTGGTTAAAACTCAGTTACTTTGTTAAAATGTGTCAACAATATCTATATTGGAGGCATTTATTAAAGAAGATATTTCTATCGTTTTCTCCTTTTCTTTATGGAAGTGTAAAATACTCTTGTGAGATGTCAGTATAGCAAAATCAGACAAGTAAAAAAACCTATTTTTGATAATATATTTCATAACAAATAAAACATGATAATACACAACAAATGGCTAAATAGAAAATAAACAATTTTTTGTGGAATGTCAAGACGGAAAAGAGGGAGAAAAGAAAGGGAAAGGGAGAAACGGAAAGGATTGAAAAAGAAAGGATTGAAAAGGAAAGGATTGAAAAGGAAGGGATTGAAAAGGAAGGGATTGAAAAGGAAGGGATTGAAAAGGAAAGGATTGAAAAGGAAAGGATTGAAAAGGAAATGATTAAACTGGAGATGATTGAAAAAGAAAGGATTGAAAAGGAAAGGACAGAAGAAAAGGAAAGGGAAAAGAAAGGGAAAGGGAGAAACGGAAAGGATTGAAAAAGAAAGGATTGAAAAGGAAGGGATTGAAAAGGAAAGGATTGAAAAGGAAAGGATTGAAAAGGAAATGATTAAACTGGAGATGATTGAAAAGGAAAGGATTGAAAAGGAAAGGACTGAAAAGAAAAGGAGTGAAAAGGAAAGGATTGAAAAGGAAAGGATTGAAAAGGAAGGGATTGAAAATGAAATGATTAAACTGGAAAGAATTGAAAAGGAAAGAATTGAAAAGGAAAGGATTGAAAAGGAAGGGATTGAAAAGGAAGGGATTGAAAAGGAAAGGATTGAAAAGGAAGGGATTGAAAAGGAAGGGATTGAAAAGGAAAGGATTGAAAAGGAAAGGATTGAAAAGGAAAGGATTAAACTGGAAAGAATTGAAAAGGAAAGGATTGAAAAGGAAAGGATATAAGTTGAAGGTGTCACCAATGAGTATGGACTAGATGGTGCTGAGGCTATGATTATGGTTGTCTCTCTACTATATATAATGGTTCCAACTTCCATATATGGTTGGATGGAATGCAAGAATACTATGGCACTGCTTGGGAATGGTTTCTACCAAGTTAGCTTAATAAATACATGGTATATATACATTTAGATTTATACAACATAGATCTCTATTCATGCGGTTCAAAGGGATAACTTTCACTACCATTCATTAAAAGGTTTTTATATATAATGTATACCTAAACCCTTTACAGATTAATTGCCCCCCTCCCCGCCTCATACGCGCCCCAAACAATAATCTAAATGGTACAAATATACATATTCATTTAGATATTTAAAACAAATAAGAAAAATTCGCCATTTAGAAAAGTACGAATTTTCTTGAATTTAAATAATCATAACTCCGTTAGAATATTCTTTCAAGCACTTGATGATCTCTTCCATGTTTTTCAATCCTTCTGTCAGCTGCCGCGTATCTAGAATCAGGCGGATCTTCTCCTTGATAAATCCACCAAACCCCTCCAGGGCGGAGTCAGGAAGGTACTTGGCCAAGGTTCGAAAGACGACCTGCGCGCGGCGGAATATGGATTGGCGGAGCTTGCGCGCTTCTTCTAATTGTTCTAAAAGCTTCTCTTGTTTCTCTTGAAACTCAACCTGAAAAAGAAAAAAACATTATTTTGAATATTTAAAAAAAAAAAAGGAAATGCTGATGTGATTTCCAGTGTCCATCCATCTATTTATAGCCTGAAATGTTCGATTCATAACGGTACCAAGAAATGCTTTGTTTGATTAAAAATGAATGAGATATCCATGTTTTTCTTTTCATTGTAAAATAAAATTACTTTCTGCTACAGAAAGTGTCAAAATTAAACACTTCTTAAACTAGAAAATGTCGATATCTTTCACATTTTTGATCATATAAAGGGTAAAAGCGTTGTGAATTTGACTCTTTCAAAATAAAGGGCCACATAAAGTCCCCTTAAATACAAATAAATTATTAAGTATACTAAGTGGCAACAGAGAAATGGACCAATTATACATGATGTCACAAGTGTCAAATATAACAAGGAAGACAACATTTTCTCACATTATTTGACATGTTTTCCAAGGTTAAATAGATCTGTAAAAACAGAAAATAAAGAACACACATTTGTACTTATTTCACTATTATTAATAATTTTACTTAAGATAAGCACTTTATTCTAAAATTATCAATATTATTAATAATTTTGTCGGACACATAGAACTGTTGACACTCGTGACGTAAGAATACAGCTGTACTCAGAGTGTACACATTCTACGTTGCCATCTATTGTACTTGACAATCTATTTGCTTAAATGTATCAACATTTTAATCCTGAACCGGAAATGGACATTACGTTCTAGAATTTCTTAATAAATATTTTAAAAAGAATTGGATAGAAATGAAAGAAGAACCAGGCATCTTATTTTTAAAAATGTTTCCGATCCTTAGATTTATTTGATGCAAGCTGTGATATCTAAATAATTATCTTTGTTTGCAAATTTCTATTTTTAATTTGAAGAAATACATGTCGGCTTCCTTTTCTTCCTTCTGCCTAGTTAGGCTAGGTTACTTAATAGACTTATTTAGTTTAATATTCATTAGTGGAAGATATTAACTCATTAATCTTATCAATGCAGTTCGTTAACAGAACTCATTTAAACACTGTAATACGACCTTTTTTATTATACAGCTAAACTTTATAGATCATTAGATTAATCAATAGATCATTCATTTAACCCTTAGAGAGGAGACTTTAACAAATTATTTTAGTTTTGAAATAAATACTTTAAACTCTTTATCTTCTCTTTAAAGAAGAATATCAGATTGCTCTAATGAGCAAAAAATTGAGTTAATAATTAATTTGATTCACGAATTGACGAAATGATGAATTAGTAAAAAGAATAATTGATATTTTAGCAAAAACTGCCAATGGTCGAAGGATGGATGGATTGATTAATTGATCTAGAAAATATTACCCCCCCCCCCTTCTTCCTCCATTAAGGAAAATATTCAGCAGTGGCCTTGTTTTTAAAAACTCATCAACTTCATGAACAAATTATAGGGGGGGGGGGGGCTTCCTCCCCCTGCATGTAAAACTAATGAAGGGAGGGAGCTGGTTACATTTGACAAGATTTATATCTACACTAACAATATATTTAACAAGAGTGGAGGAGTAGGTCTAGGAGTATATAGAGGAGTAGGAGTATATATAGAGGAGTAGAGGTATATACAAGAGCAGGGGTATATGTATGAAATGCTATCTTGCCACAAATTCTGATTTTCTGCTAGATCAAATGAAAATAGATAATTTTATTTATAGAAATTTTAAAGTCTAAAAAATCCCATTATTATATAAATCTGAAAACTTTTATTTAGTTCCTGTATTTCAACAATAAACATTTATCTTAAATTAGTAAACATTAACGGGACAGTAGAGACAGACGGTGCCATTAAAAGCGTTGTCTGATCAAGTTTGACTAAGATATCCATGTTTTTGCTTTTGAAAACAGTTTATTATCATTTGTGCATGGTGTCTTCTCTGCATACTATTTCATTAGCATTACACAACATTTTATAACTATATAGTTTTCTAACGATTATCATTTAAGATTTTTTTCACAAACTCAAAATTTAGAAATATATATCTCTTGGTATTCTTTGCTTTAACATAATTACTCCGAGGACTAATCTTAAAGCTCCGAAGCAAGAAACTGATTTGAAAACTTCAGGACACCCTAATAAATATATAAAATAATGGGGTTAGAGGTTTATTATTGAACTCTGTCAATTCTACTCGAGCATAAAGGATGAGACACGACATAGTAATATCTATCTATCTACTTTATAGAGGTCATATACCCCCCCATCATGTATATACATAAGGATATAAGTGGTTTGTGGCCTTGGAGACAGGCAGTCAAAACTGCTTTAAAGATTAATAATCTCATAAAACTGGTTAAACTCCAGGATTCTAGCTAAATGGCATTTTTAATTCTTTACTAAGCTTAACTCCAGGAAACTTGCAAAAAACATGAAATAGATTTGTTACACTCCTCCAGATTTTAGAAACAATTCTGAAAGGAACTGTAAGCATAATTTCAATTCACCCTCCATGCAAAGATGACAATGCCTAATCACAACGCTACCCTTTGTCTGATCAAGTATGAATTAGATATGAATTTTGTAATTTTGAAAACTGATTATTTTCATTTGTGGTTTCTCTACAATATGCAATAATGACTTGCGCATTTCCACTGCATGCAGAAAAAACATGTAGGAATTATCATACATGAAACACTTGTAAACCTGAAAAACGAAAATATCTTCCACATTATTGATCAGATAAAGGTTTTAAGACCATTAGGTCGTCATTAAAGACTCATTATTTGTGGGTACAGACCAAACGACGGATTTACAGAGACGTGACAGACAAAATAAATAAACGTTTGTGTAAATATCAATAATATGCATCAATGCGTTAACATGAAGTTGAATAGAATATTTAATTGTCACGTCTGTTCAACCTGTTATTACATAATATTATCCATTTTTCTTCAATTGATAATATTAGATGCTAAATATTAGAAACTGACAACAGGACAACTTTGACAGATGGGAGTTATCGTAAACATATTAATGGGTCACACTCACAGCATCAAACATAATTAAAGCTACTTTGAATTTTTTCTGATTTAAAATGAAATAAACTATTTTCTGCAATTTTATTTTATAACTAGCTGAAGGGCCCAGCGTTGCCCGTGGAAAAATAGGAAAACAAATTAAATTTGTTTAACCATGAGTGTCCACAAAAAAGTTCAGCCCATTCGGTCCAGCCGTTTGGCTGACCAGAGGGAACATATATATGAATTATGTTATGAATTTATTACATGGATTAATTAAACGTTACTCTTCATTTTTGTTTTAACATATAAAATCTCTTTAAAAAATACGCTTTTTTGATCAGTTAAACGTAATATTTTTCTTTTGTAATCTTAATGTAAAATTCATATCTTTCAACCGATGTATTAAAAAAAATAAGATTTTTCTTTAATTATTAAATGCTACAATTATTTTCTGCTATATTACCGAACGTGATAAAAATTAAGATGAACATATTATCTAAACCGGATATAATGTCTAGTCTGGACCGGCAAAACCGGATATAATATCTATGGACCGGCTAAACCGGATATAATTTCTTGTTTGGACCGGCTAAACCGGATATAATTTCTAATCTGGACCGGCTAAACCGAATATAATATCTAGTCTGGACCGGCTAAACCGGATATAATTTCTAGTCTGGACCGGCTAAACCGGATGTAATATCTAGTCTGGACCGGCTAAACCGGATGTAATATCTAGTCTGGACCGGCTAAACCGGATATGCTGAAGTTGGATGTCGTTTTTTATTGTTGTCTTAAATATTTAATCAGAGGCCGAATTTAATAAATTTGAACCGTGTCGCTGAACCGATGATCACCGGTTCAAATTGCGCGCTGGCTCAAAATTCGAAACACTGATTAACATTTCAAATTGAACCAACAATGTGTGTCCAATTTTATAAAATTCGGCATCAAAAAGGTAAATACCTTTTGTACAACGACAGTAGAAAACATTTTAAATTTAAAAAAAAATATTTAAATACAGTTCTTATATCTGGAATAATACAGTTCTTATAGATTTAATAATCCAAATTAATTCACCTGAGATTTCTGGTTGTCTGGTCTAGGGTTGAGGTTAGCTCTGACCAGCCTGCTAGTTAATCCAATCACGAGGCTGGTGATCTTGTCCACCTCCTCGATGAAGACCCTGACCTTGTCGACCTCCATCTGCTGAGCAACCTGTCTCAACTCCCCGAGGACATCCTTTCCAACCTCATCATTCAGCCTGACGGTCTCCCTAAACAAGCATAGGGTTAACGAAGCCACTGTGAATTATGCTCTATTACTGCTGCGACTTTGTGACCTCGTAGCTTTAGCGATGTGATTTCAGTCGTTTTTTGCCTGATAAAGATATTTCTAAGTTTTATAAAAGCAAACTTTAACATAATAAAGTTTTATTGAAATTTTCAATACTACCCACTACTAACAATACTACTTACAATACTACTCACAATACTACTCAAACACTACTCACACTACTTCTCACAATACTACTCACAATACTACTCACACTACTACTCACTATTCACTACTCAAAGCTCCCCTAGTTTGCTCTGAGGAGAGCAAATTTATCGGATTACACTACACATAAGAAATTCAAAATATTGATAATAATAAAAATATCAATCTTATACATGCACTTTGCTTTAGTTTGAGGTAACGTGAAGTTTCAAACTTAAACTTTTTAATGTTTCTAAATTTAAAGTTTTAAATATAAAAAGTTTATTAGGAAAAAATGGAAAAAATTTAATCAAGTGAACGAAATAAAAAGAAAAAAATGAAAAAACAAATAGAAGGAACACAGAACTATGAGAGATGATTAAAAGAGTAGGTTAAAAAGTAAGGATGGAAGGAAGAATGAATAGGTGAATGACAGGAAGGATGAATGAAAGGATGGATGAAAGGATGGATGAATAAATGAATGAAAGAATGAATGGCTCTGTCAGTAAGCAATGTGCAGAGAATATTCTGGAGTGAGTCCTACACAAATTTGTTTTACACGCCATACTTGGAACCATAGGACACATGGAATTTATTATTGATCCCAACACTACAGAACCCGGCAACTCAACAGTAAGATACTTGACGTCCAACAACACAACACCACAACAACATAAACCCACCAGCTCCTATCCAACAACACAACACCACAACAACATAAACCCAACAGCTCCTATCTAATAACACAACACCACAACAACATAAACCCACCAGCTCCTATCCAACAATACAACACCACAACAACATAAACCCAACAGCTCCTATCAAACAACACAACACCACAACAACATAAAGCCAACAGCTCCTATCCAACAACACAACATCACAACAACATAATCCCAACAGCTCCTACAACCATGACTTAATCCTAGTTCTCAGAACTGTACAAGTTCAATTTATTAACTGAGATTTAAATGAATTTAACAATTCCAAATTCCAGGGATAATCAAGAAATGACCAGATATTTTGTAAAAAATTAACCTTAATGTTCTTCCTGTTCACAGGCTACACAAGTTTGTCACGAAATTTATTTTTTTGAATTAGTTTCAAAATTTCTTCACTATTCATTTGTTTATCTATTTATGTTTATCTGTATAAAACATGCAGTTATTTGGAAAACACCTTTCACAGGAATAGAATTGAGTCTTTGCCACAAACTGTGATTTTCTGTTCCATTTATCTGTGCAACATAATAGTGTAAATCCTTGATATTTTAAACTTAGATTATTTGATCTAACAAAATTCTATTGTTTGAAATATTTACAACATTGGGTTACAAAGATAAAGCGATTGGAACACTAGAGTTTTAGCTTAAAATCTTTGTTAGCAAAAATGATTCATGGAAAAAATAAATAAAAATAATTAAAACAACTTCTATCCCTTTTGTCCTCTCAATGTTTATGTTCAGGTTTAGTGCTTGCAGTTCAAAATTTAAAGTGTTTTCGAGCAAATAATAAAAATACCAACAAACGTAATCTTAAAAGTGAAAAGGCAATTTCAAGATTGTGTAAAATAAAATATTTCAAGTTTGTGTAAATTTTATTTACTTTTTATTTGCATTTCTGAGAAAATCCGCGTAAACACTTTCCCCTTGATTCGGAATTTTAAGTGGAAGTAACGAGGAACGAAACCCCCATTAGGAATTCTCTGTTAACGGATAAAGGGGATGTACTTTTAGTGACCATATATCTAAAGATTTTAATAATGAAGAAATTGTTGTTTTTCTAAAAAAAAGGTTCTTTTTTGTCTCTGTTGAACAACTCCGCAGGTCACTGTTTCAGAGAAAACCGCAATTGAAAATCATAAAAGTACATCTCCTATTAAATGCAAATGTTAAATCTAATCATTTCTGAAAAATATTCTAATATTGAAACCGGGTTTAATTGATGTTAAACACTGTCATAAGTTCCAGTTCCAGCATACCTGAGCAAAGCTTGATGTTTCCTTTCCGCCTGAACCCGTTGAGAGACGAAACTCAGAACTTTCTTTCGAGATTCTTCGAAGCTCGATGAGTGGTTTCGTCTCGGGGACTCGGTTTCGAGGCTCTCCTTCTGGTTCGATCTGATTTCGAACTCGAGGGACCCTTCGGGGAAGTAAACCGACAGACTGGGAGCTAAACAGCTTTCTAAAAAAATATATATTTATTATTTCCAGAAAAAAAAATCAGAAGCAAAAAAAATCTAAAAGTGATGAAGGATAAATAATGTCAAAAAATATAAGATTATTTATAAAAACGATAATCAATAAAAAGTTATAAAAAATATCAGTTTAAGAGAAGAAAGAAGGAAGAAAGAAAATGAAATAATTGACTGGAAGAACAAAGAGATCCAACATTCCACTAAAACCCACTATTAATTCAGTCAGAGTACTGGAGATTACTGTGTAGTTTAGGGTGATAAAGGTAGTAAGCTCACAAGCAAAAATAATTGAGAATTTCAAAGTCAACCCGGTTTTAGAAATGGACGCAACATTTCATAGTAGTCTGGATCAATGTATGTAAAAGGTCTCAAATACTGAGGTTGGTGTAGACAGCTTTGAAACTTGAGACCTGAACGAATAATTTAGTTTTTGTTTCAATTTTAGAGTTAACTAAACCCTACTGCCTTCCCCCTCTCCCCCTTACTCCCCCCCCCTCCTCTACGCAATTATACAGACAATTCATACCAAACAGACAAACAGACAGATATTTGTGAACATTTTTAAGAACGCTATAAAGTGAGATAATAAACTATAAATTAAAAACTTATTTACGGTTAAAACTCTCCCTGTTGGGAAAAAGTTTAAGCCTACCAAGAAGAGATGACAATGTTGACTTTTTCAAGTTTTAAAAAGAATTCTACAGGGAGTTCAAAAAAAATTCCGGAAATATTTTTCTTCCATTAACCATATTTTTTGTCGTGCCGTACTAATTTTTCAGTTTTCTCTCAGCTTTTAAACAAATTATTTCTTGAATCCAACAAATTTGAAAAATTTTAAACAGAAGTTTTTGAACACCCTCCTTAGATTGTTTGCATAAAGGTTGGGTTGAAGTGAACACTAATATAAACCTACTAAACACTGTGTAACGACATGACAGGACAAATTAAACAAGAGACTAGCAAACCATGGGAAAATTAATATGTAAAGAAAAAGTGAAATGACATCACCTTAAATTAAAACGTATTCATATCATTTAAACAAAGAGTGAATTTATACAAAGAATTACGGACATTTGCTTCTTCTGTCAGAATGTCTTGAACTTCAAGTTTTGATTACAAGCTTTAAAGGGAGTTACCGGCAATTTATAGTACGAGAACTAAGATTGCAGTATTATTGAAAAAAATGCGTCGTTAAAATGTCCGATTGATCTCAAATGAATCCTAACAAAATGCTCTATAGTACTGCAATCTCAGTTAAAAGACCATACATTGCCGGTTTATCCATTTTATAAGAATTTTCAAATTTTCAATTCCTTATATTTTATCTAAAAGAATTGTAGGAATTGTCGACGACGAAATTTCATGTGATCCTGCACTGAAAAAAGAGGTATGACTGAGTCAGAGGAAAAATGGTATCCTTTTTTTCTATCTAAAAATTAATTATTATCAATGGTGTAACTAGAAGAGACAAAGAAAGAAATTGCCAGATTTTTGTTCTAGAAAGAAAAACGATGATATCTCCCTCATTGTTGCAACAATAAAATTTGTAAAGAATACTTTGTAAATAGGGGTCAATCTAAATTACGTACACAGTCCCTTTAATCCATAAGACTGTGCGTGAAGAATTGAAGGTAGTTTTATGTATAAAAGCGCTGGAATGAAACCGCCCACTTTTATTCAACCAAATATCCTTGAGATTGTCTGGTTTCAGAATGAATCCAGATTAATGGGATTTATTTATCAAATTTATGCTTCACCCCTTCGTGGCAAGGATAGCTATGGGGCTTAAGCTTGATTGAAGAATTTATTCTACTAGCTTTTTGGGCGCTTCGCGCCCATCTTCTATTTCAATTGTGAACATGTTTTCTTTGTATACATTGTAAAACAAAAAACAAAAAAATTTCGTGGATTTTCTAAATTTTCAAAAATCGAATTTTGTTAGAAGCAATTTTCGGAAATTCGATCGTCCATAAACCTTCCCTGGGATCACGCGAGGTCCCACAAAAGCTATTTATTTAGGCCATTTTAAGAAATTTTAAGTACATTTTCTATTTAATCCTCCTGAAAACTCTAACCGCAAGGATAGTTAGGGGTTTAAATTTTATTGAAGAATTTGTTCCATTCGTTTTAAAACATTTTTTTTTTAGTTTTGTTTCCTTTATATATTATCTTTTCTAAAGTATATTATTTTGATGCTATTTTAGGAAATGTTCTATTTAACCCTCCTGAAAATTCTCAAACTATAGCCTATGTAAATGTGCTAAACTAGATGGGCAAAATAAGGAAGAGGGGGTTGAGGGGGTTGAGGAGGGAGTTGAGGGGGTTGAGGAGGGAGGGGGCAGGGGAAAGGGGGGGAGTGCTGGGAGAAATTCTATGCTGAGATATATTAACTGTCAATTTATATCTGAATGAATAATTTTCTTGAAGATCTTACTTAACATCTACATTCTACATAGATACAAGCATGAGTATTAGGATACGCTAGGTGACCCCAAAAATATATTGATATATAATAAAGCTCTTCGCTCATCTATATATAATATTAGTTAGCTATAGCTGGCAAAACGGCTGAACCAAATTGGCTGAAATTTTTTTCTTCAAAATGTGAAATCTATTTTCCTAAAATGTTTTTAAAATTTCACGGGGAACGCCGGACACTTCAGCTGGTAAATATATAAAGTAGTAATCTAGCTGTTTGTCTGTCTGTTTGCTTGCATGGCTAATCATAACTCATGAACCAATTAACCGAGGTGCCTCAAATTTTGATTGTGAATCTTGTTAGAGCCACAAATTGTTGTTTGTTTGGGTTAAATTTTCTAAGTTAAGTACATTGAGATCTTGCTAGGCTGCCTTTGTTGCATAAAACGTGCTAGGTCAACTTTACACTTCATTGGTATAAAACTATACTCTACATAATGTATATTATGAATGCAACGCTAGAAGTGTAAAAACTATACTCTTCATAATGTATATTATGAATACAACGATGGAAGTGTAAAAACTATACTCTACATAATGTATATTATGAATACAACGCTAGAAGTGTAAAAACAGCAGGTGATAGTAAGGGCGTTTAGGAAGTTGAGGCATAACAGAATGTACGATTTTAAAACATAATACACTGCAAGGTGTTTTGTAAGATTTGTATTTTGCATAAATCACAACTTAGCATGTTTTGTAAACAAAGTGTCATGTTATCAACGTGTTAAGTAAGTTATGTGTTTCAGTGTTAAATTAATCTTGTGTTTATCAAGTAAAAATTCAGAATTTTGTGTTTATCCTGCACATTTGCATTAGAATCGAATCGTTATAACAAATGAATTTGATTTTTAAATAATTAAAAAAGTTATTGCAACAGGACGCTAGTAAAGCAAGGCTATAAAAAAAGATAAGGGCTTCAAGTGTTGAGCTTATTTATACCAGGATGTTCGCAATTAGCTCTGAATATCAAACATTATTTTTCGTAGATGTATCAATCATTGTAATATTTGCAACAGCGCATTTAGCAGATTTTTCTGCTTTTTTGTTGTAAATTTCCGTCATTTTTGACAAATCAAAATTTTTACATTTTGACCCGATTATAAACCGGTTATCTGAGTTACCAAAAAAAAAGTTTTGATTAAAAAGAAATAGACAGAAAAACCAACACCAATTAAACACACAAGCCAAATTTATTTAGATGGAAAAGCTAGATTATATATATAATGTATGCTAGGCTGCTAGCTGGAGTGCTCGGTGTTGCCAAAGTTTATATTATTTTCAATTTTTTTAGCCTATTGTCGGCCCTTGGTTTCTTACATTTTTTATTGCTAATTTGGTCCAGCCGTTTGCTCAGCTATGGCTAACATATAAATATATATATGTTATTTTATAGAAGAAAAAAAAACTAAAAATATCTACAGAATATATTTTAAGTCGAAAGTGATTCTATTTAAAAGGTTAAAATAAAGACCAAAAAATATAATTTTAGTTTTATTTAATTTAATTTCTAAACAGCCTCTACTTTAAATAAAGTATATGAGAGTGTGAGAATACATAATCAAATATCAAGTTTTAGGAGTTTAACTGTATACTGTGCAGAACTCACACAGTTACAAAAATACCAACAAATACAGGGTTAACCACAAAGGATGAGACTTCAGAGACGACTCTACGGAATTAATATTGTCTGTTTTCTTAAATTTATGGTACCCTGCGACTGTAAACTTAAATCTTTCTTTGTTAAATTATGATTTAATCCACTGAAAGACTATTTTCAAGGGAAAAGGCTTAAGCAGCCTTGAAATCATCATTTCAAGGTATTCAAGTCGTCTTTCCAGTCTCATCCTTTGTAAGTAACCCTATATATAAAAGCCAACAAATAGATGATATATGGAGATAGTTGAAAAAATCTATAATGAAAAGAGAGAGAAAAAAATGAGAAAGATTGAAAAAACGAAGAAAAATTTGTTGTAAAGTAAAATTACTTACTTATGGCACAAGATACCCTTGAATCCTTTGGAGAAAAGACTAGAAGATCTCGATATAAATCTTCTAGATCTAGCTCTTCAGGTTCTTCTTCTACAGGGATATTACTGGCAGATACTATAGAAGACGACCTCAGCGAGGTTCTGCTACTTCCGCTACTACTACTCAGATCAGACATCGGAGATATACAGGAGGAGCGTCCGGAGAGAGATGAGATACCAGAGTCGGAGTGAGAATGGTTGTGTTTAGGACTTGGGGTGGAGTCGTTCCATTCATGGTTTTGTGCTGAGGAGTTGGTTGGAGTGTGGTTGGGTGGAGTAGGTCCTGAATCCAGACTACTCTTCCACCAGTTGGAGATGGATTTAAGGGACCGTTCCCTGCTCAGATGTAGGTTTTGTTGTTTATTCTCTGAGGATCCTCCTTCATCATCCAGTTTTTCATTCTTCTCCTCCTCCTCCACACTTCTATTTAACTCCTGGCCGTTGCTGAACTTATTGAAGTTCCTCAAGAACTTCTCGTTAGAGGACCGGGGGAGCACCACGTTCCTGTCCTTCAGGTTCTGCCGCTTCTTGTTCGGATCAATGTTCTCGTTCTCGTTGCAGGATCTGTTCGGGTTCTCACTTCTCTTCCGTCCTCGGCTTTCCGTTCTCCGCAACCTCGACATACTCGCTTCACGTCCCAACTCATTCCTGGCCGGAGCAGGTTCATCCCGGTTCATCCGGGTACCCAGTTCATCACGGTACGCTACATTATTCCTAGGACGAGTATCATCCCCAGCAGGTCCGGAATGGAAATTTTCATCCCGCGAGAAAGTGTCGATCCTTGAGTGTTCGAGCTGTGGATATGTTCTCTCATCCCTAGGATAAGTTCTTTCAAGTACATTTAAGTCATCCATCGAGCTCATTCGCTCATCCCTAGGTTGGGTTGAGGAAGGTGGAGGGCGATCCTCGCGGCGAATTCTGGTTCGACTTTCGTCTCTCGCAGCTCGAAATTTGCTTGCTTCCTCGGAGGTAAAACTTACAGTTGAACTCTTCACTCCAAGGAACATTTGCCAGCCTAGGATATTATAATATGCTGGCTGTCTCCCTGTAGCTGTCATGTGAGGCGGGCTGTCAGCCGGCTGTCTCCCTGACACTTGTGGTGGTGTATTAGCTGGCTGTCGACCAACACTGTGTGACTGTTTAGGAGGAGTTGTTGGCTGTCTAGCGGTGGTCTGCAGCTGTTGAGCAGATGTTGATGGCTGTCTGTTGAAAGATTGTTGTTGATGTTGATGATTGACCGTCTGTCTTGCCGTAGAGGATCGACCGTACGGAGATACAGCTGTACCCACTGAACCTGCTACAGCTGCTGTACCTGCTGTGCCTGGCGCATACGATGAATTTCTTATCCCCCCTTTAGAGGAGGCAGGTTGAAACACAAACTGGGGACCGGCGGGAGCCGGTATAATCCCATTTTGGCGGGAGAATTTAGCGGCGGTTAGAGGAGGAGGAGGAGGTAGAGGTTCTGATGTGGTGATTAGATCAATCTCTGGCAGAGGTGGAGGAGGAGGGGAGGGTGTGGAGCAGGTTCCCCGCCCAAGAACACTAATATTCGGTGAGCAGGGCGGAGTCGGCAGTTTAGGTTTCCGCCGTGTTGTCCGCCGCGGCATGGTGTTTGGATCCTCGATCTGGAAAAAATAGAATTAGTAAAAATAAATATGATTTAATTAAACTAGGATAATTACGATCTTACGTAAACTGGAATACATGGTTAAAACATACATACAGGGTTTCCCACAAAGGATGACGACCATAAATCTATTAAATATAACAATTAGATGGTTGAATTCGGTAATTTGCACTAAAATAGTCTTAAAAAGTTCTGATTAATGAATCGGCACTGAAAGAAACAAGTATCCAACCAAAACTATGTGTAAAAATAAAGGTTTGCATACATTCTGTACAGACGTCTCTGAAGTCTCATCCTTTGTGGGCAACCCTGTATACCAATATGATATTGGATTTAAAAAACCATTCGCATAAAACCTCTTTCTTCGATATGTTTATTATAGATGAAATTAAATCTTTCTATATAAAAAATAATCAAAGTTTGTAGTTTTAATATCGGAAACTCAGTAAATTGTATTTAACTTATCGACAAGATAATTTAAAGGTATGAAGATAAAATCTGCAGATTGAAAGAGGGAAAACTGTATTGTTTGAAAACCCGGAGCTTTTGGCATCTATCGGCAAATAGTAATTAAACGCTAATTCCAACCTGCCAATTATATACACTTATAAAAACAATCTAAGGGTGGGATCACGGACTTTGATAAGTTTATGGAAGTTTGTCTTTACCAAGGAGAATTGAATAGAAGGAGGGGGCAATAGGGTTTCCGTACACTTTGCTGTGACGTTTTTGGACTGATGCATGGAGAACTAGTTTTTGCGTAAAAACAATAATAAAGATTGTAAACAATAACACAAATAATAAACAGACATCTGGCGCATCCATAGAGAATAGAATATATAGAGATGAATTTACTAGAAAAAAGTGTAAAACGGCCATTTTGTTGTACTGTTTCCATACTGCAGGTGTACTTCACATATTTATGCTATATAACCTGTTGGGCCCTGGAAAATCATTTTATAGAAAATCTAAAATTATAATTAAAAGAAAACCAAATTATGAAATAGGCTGGTTTCATTATTGACCAATGATCATTTCACATAGACTCTATGCCTTCCACTTTACAAATGATGATTTTCCATTATAACTATAAATCAAATGATGTTTTTTTCACCTAATTCAATATAAAGTTTATTTAACAGTTTAAAAAATTCAAAATTGAAATGGATAGTCTAGGGAACATACTGTATTAATGTACTCTACTGCATATAATTTGTGAACATTTACATGATTTGTACTCTTTGAACTCCCTGTCAGGCTGAAAGGGACTGAAAAAATTCATACCGAGAGATTCTTTTAATTCCTCTCTATATATTATATTCTCTATGGGCGCATCTAGCTGGCGTTAGATGAAGATTCACCGTATACTAACTCATGTTTCTTTACATTAGATCGGCTGCCTTTATTATTGTTGTTACGCAAAAACTAGTTCTCCAGCAGTCCAAAAACGTCACAGCAAAGTGTACGGAAACCCTATTGCCCCCTCCTTGTATTCAATTCTCCTTGGTCTTTACGATGAGGATATTAAATATTCAAATTTGAGACTGAGGGCGCAAAAGATAAAGTTCTAATATTTTATTTTCCTTAAGCTGGCGCATTTATTTCTTGATCTTCAATTTACCCAAAATATTTCGAAAATTTTGTTAGAAATTACGATTTTTTTTGTTATTTAACGATTTGTGAGATATCTCTATCAGTATGTTCATAATTTGCGTAATTTCGAAAGGCTTTTAGAAGTTAAAATATAGTGTTTTTAACAGCATGCGTGAATTGTGCTGTACATTGTACAAAGATCTTTTTAATGTGTAATGAAACACCCTGTACAAAGATCTGTTAAATGTAATCCTATGTTTTATGAAACACTCTAAACAAAAATCAGTTTACTGTATTCCTATGCATAATGAAAAACCCAGTACAACAGGATAATCTGAGATCAAAGCAAAGTTGATGAAATTAAACCAGAAAATCCACAATAATCCCACCCCCCCCCTACTCTCTATAGAAAACATTAAAGACCATGGGGTCGGTGTTAAAACACTTTACGTGCAAACTGGTCGCGGTTCCTTTAATACTTAATCTTGAACTTGCCCTTTTATTCCAGCCAATGATTCAATTCCTGTGATTATTATATGCAGAACTATAACAGTTAAACTATATTAAAATATTAGGCTTCAAAGTTCCAGGACACTTAGTTTGAATCCAGGTTTCTGGCAATAAATAGCTTTTCTTCGTATTTTATTAAATCAATAGCTCACAAATATTCCGTTAATGAAATGAGTTTTGTCGCAAGCTCAAATTTTTAAATCTTTGCAACCAGAGTCTAAAACTAAAGAACGAAAAGTTTTGACTTAAATTTTAAGTTCATGGTTAAATGCCACTTCTGACTTAATTTAAACCTGAACTTTAACCTTGAGGTTAAATATTTAACCCTGTGGTTAAATATTTAACTCGCTGAAATCGACGAGTTAAAATTTAAACAGAGGTTTTAAATTATCTTGAAATCCTGCATTTTCCCTATTTGTCTATTATTCAATCATCATTCAGCTGCAGCTGAGAAAGCGGCATTCAACTTTACGATATATTTAAAATTGAAAACCTTGTTAAAGAAATTTCACGTTTTAGATAAATTAATTTTTGGATGTAAACCCAAAAAACGGTTGTATGTTTTGTTTTCGGTTACGTAAGAACAGCTGATTAGCGATGGTTATGTAATATTCTCCGTAAATCCTTTTCTCTGATTGGTTCAGATTTTCCCGGGAAATTCAAATTTAAAACTGAGAAAGTTTAATATTTAAGTAGCTATTAATTATTTTACAGAACTTTTAACCTCGAACTTAAAATTCGCGCATTCTTTAGTTTTAGACTCCGATGTCTTGAACCTTTGATATTTAAAACTATGAATTCTGTTAGATCACGAAGTATAAGTAGAACATATCAAAGGTTTACACCATCAGGTTGCAAAGATATAGGGATTAGAAAATTTGAGTTTGTGGCAAAAAATCAGTTCCTTTTACTGGGTTCATAGCTTAATTTACAAAATTTAGAAAAATCTGATATTATTAAGGTTTCTGAAAACCTGCCCGGCAATACAGTAACACTACCATCGGTTCAGCCTTTTCAATGTTTATTGGATTCAAACAAACGATAACAAATGCGAATATTTGTTTTTTTATCCAAAAAATTGTTTATTTTAATGGTTTAAAGTATAAAGTTCATAGAAAAAAAGAAGAAAATTTTTTGCAACAAACGATATCTCTTCCTCATAATTTACAGAGATAGAAATACATTTTATGCATAGATAGTCAGGCATAAATACCTGCACACTGCTTAGAATAGGCCATTACTTAACTGCATGATGCAGGTTTGTATAATAATAGGCATTCATAGGCTTTACAATAGATTATAATACATATGTACACTTTATTTCAGCGTACTTTTCTTTTAGTCAATATAATATGTACGTTGGAAAGTGCACCATAATTTAGTGTACATAAAAACAATAAAATAATAAGTTGACTACATAAAAACAGTAATATAATTGAATGTGTACGAACTTATATGTTTTTTTGGGTTATCTTATATGAGATAAAAAAGTAATACCATTTTTTTTT